GCGAACCCTCCCCAGGCAGGGCCACAACCCTGAAAAGCCGGGGCTCTTTGGCTCCCTTGTGGTCCTGTAAACATCATTTATTCTGTTTGCTATCATTAGTGGGGCTCTGAGTATATATAAAAAAACTACATCCCATAATTATTTATACATATTTAGATTTCCACAGGATTCGCTGCTGGATTGATTAAGAATCAGGCTAATGTACCCTCTTGAGGAAGCCTTCCTTTGCTTATGTAATTTCCTTTGCTCATCTGTGCCCTGGGGAGTAAGGATTTGTGTCCAGAGGAGAAGCCACCGTCTCAGAGAAGTCAAGCGACTTGACTGAAATCACTCAGGAGTGGGACCTGTCACTCACACACAAGGATGCTGGCACACACTGACCACATTTCAAGAAAGCAGGGAGCTATCATCATCGCCCTGTTTATTGGGTCCCCCCCCCAACCTTTATCTTATTCACCAAACGCACTTAGAGGTCCTTGAAAAAAAAATCCAACTCCAATTATGGAAAAATTCAACCCTATAGAAAAGTAGACAGAATAATGACCCCTTAGAGGTCCTTTCAATTGGCCCCGGAATTGGTTGCATTTACAGCTGCCAAAGGTTGAGGGCACTGAATGAAAGAGAAACAGGAACTTGCCGGCTCCTTTTCTTTCTTAAAACAAAAAAGATATTCAGGGCAAATTTTAGAATCATTGACGGTTTCTAGGAAGATTTTCTTTTTTGGAAGAAAAAAAAAAAAAGGTACTCTTGTCTCCTTAATTGTTCCTCGTGTTCTTTGTCACCAATCATGACATTCTTTGTGGAAAGTATTAATGCACCATCTTCTTGTGCTCAATATTCCCATTAACAATAAAGAGTCTCATGACAGTCTCTACACGGAAAGCCCCGAGCACTCAGCTCAGACACAAACAGAAGGGGAACCAGTCCGTGTTTCTCCTGAAATGAACAGATGCAAATTAATTGATATCTTAATGAAGCTTCGGCATGAGGATTATTAATCAGAGTCGATGAGGACTGAAAAGCAGCTTTGAGGGAAGGCAGGGGACACAGGGCTGGGGTAGCGGCACGGAGACCTTATCTGTCCAAGGCTCTTCTACTCTGTGGGACATTTCCAAGAGAGGCCGGGAAGGACACCAGGCGATAGACATCAGTCCCTGGACTGGCTAGGTTTGGGTACTGCCTTCTAGTCCTGTTCCTGAGCCAATGGGAATCCACAGATATAGGAAGTTCCACCCCATGTCTGCCCCTGGGTTTTCATATTACTTCCACTGTGCAGGAACAATGCCTTCTTCTATTTTGTGTTTATGACCCAGACCTCTAGAGGTATTTGACTTAGAGCAACGATAATAAAAACTGTATAGGGCTGGCTATGTGTTCTGGGTATTGTCCTAAGCACTTTCTCTAAAATAACTCGGTTAAGCTTCACACTGACAGTGTGAAGTAGAGACTATTACTGTCTCCATTTTACAAGAGAGTATACTGAAACAGAGAAGTCAAGCAACTAACCTAAGATCACAAAGCTAATAATGGTGGATTTGGGATTTGAAACACTGAAGTTTGGCTCCAGAGTCATTGCTCTTAACCACTACGCTACTTTGAATACTATTCAATGTATTTATTTGTTGAATTAGTGAACAAAAGGGTACCATGTGAATGCCTGGTCCCTACTGCTGGGCATCTCTCTAGCTCCTGGTTTTCATCTAAGTGGCCTGCAGGAGTGGAAGTTATCCTAACTATACCCTGCCAGCTTCTCTTTGGGGTGAGCTGGGGGGCTACAGATGTTTCTGGGAATGGTCTGGTCCACCATCTAATTAGACCCCATCCCCCAATCTCAAGGCCAGCCCAGATTCCACCAAGTCTGCCTCTGTGGCCTGGGGACTCTCAGGGCTGTTGTCACTTGCAGGGAGGTCACCACATGCTTTCCTGATGAGACACTTTGGGGAATGATGGTGGGTGGGGTGTAGTTTCCTGGGGTTCAAAACACTGACCAGGTGTGCTTTATTTACCCTGGGGGCGCTCTCCGGGTAGCTTCTA